TTGGACTGAATCGGAATTTTTATTTTATGATTGATCAGTATAAACATCAACACCTTCGAATTGGATCAGTTTCTCCTGAACAAATAAGTGCTTGGGCAAAAAAAATCCTACCCAATGGAGAAATAGTTGGGGAGGTAACAAAACCCCATACTCTTCATTATAAAACCAATAAGCCTGAAAAAGGTGGATTATTTTGTGAAAGAATTTTTGGGCCTATAAAAAGTGGAATTTGTGCTTGTGGAAATTATCGAGTAATCGGAGATAAAAAAGACCAACCAAAATTTTGTGAAAAATGCGGAGTAGAATTTGTTGATTCTCGGATACGTAGATATCAAATGGGGTATATCCAATTAGCATGTCCTGTAACCCATGTGTGGTATTTGAAACGTCTTCCTAGTTATATCGCGAGCCTTTTAGATAAACCTCTTAAAGAATTAGAGAATCTAGTATACCGCGATGTGTGATTTGATAAAAATTCTTATTGTACAGATTTCGAATGATAAACTGTCATTCCAGTCAATTAAATGGGAATGTCCTATATCTGGCATGTCTCTTGGGATGAGTAACATGAAGCTCAGAATTCATGGGTGTATTGAATACTCCCCAATCAAAAAGGGAATTGGTCTATGGTCAATTCAGTAACAAATAACTATTTACTGTATGTACCTTGTGAAAAAAAAAATACTTTTTTGTGGAATTCATTATTCCATCTCTTTTTTTTTTTTAAAGAACTCAAATTATGTTCAAAGAATAAAATATATCATGATTGCATAAGTTTATCTATCACATATAGGCTTTAAGACATCGTGGCAGACCCGTCGAGGTGACGTCTTGACCTAAAAGATCGAACGGTATGATACATAGACAAAGAAATCTCTTATGAATTCGAGGATATTCCTTTTTTATTAAGAATTTCATTTTAGAAGATTCCTCGTTCGAAGGGAGGTAGACTACTCAAGAATTTTACATTTTATTTCTGTCTTAATTTCGAATTGGATAAAAAATTCAGAAAAAAAAGAAGAATGTATCAATGAAATGTTGCTTGGTCTTTATTGATAACTTGAGTAAAGAGTAAACCTTTTTGATTTTAGATTAGAGGTTTTCCAAAATTGGAAAGCGGAAACCCCTTTCTTTATCTTTAATTGTGTGCAAATACTTTAGCCGGATGAGAGGAAACCCTCATGTCCGATTTTAAAGGGGGCGATCCATCTTATTGGATCCTATCCAAATTTTTCTTTTGCTAGGCCCGTAGTTAAAAAACCAACTTTCTTACGATTACGAGGTTCATTCGAATATGAAATCCAATCCTGGAAAGACAGTATCCCACTCTTTTTTGATACTCAAGGTTTCGATACATTTCGAAATAGAGAAATTTCTAGTGGAGCGGGTGCTATACGACAACAATTAGTTGATCTGGATTTAAGAATTATTATGGATTCTTCGTTGCTAGAATGGAAAGAATTAGGAAAAGAGGGGTCCAATGACAAATGGAAAAATCAAAAAGTTCGAAGAAGAAAGAAATTTTTGGTTCGACGCATGGGATTAGCTAAGCATTTTCTCCTAACAAATATAGAACCAGAATGGATGGTTTTATGTCTCTTACCAGTTCTTCCTCCCGAATTGAGACCAATTATTCAAATAGATGGCGGTAAACTAATGAGTTCGGATATTAATAAACTCTATAAAATAGTTATCTTTCGGAACAATACTCTTATTGAGCTATTAAGAACAAGTGGATTTACACCAGCGGAATTAGTAATGTCTCAAGAAAAATTGGTACAAGAAGCCGTGGATGCACTTCTTGATAATGGAATCCGCGGACAACCGATGAGGGACGGTCATAAGAAAGTTTACAAATCGTTTTCCGATATAATTTCGGGCAAAGAGGGAAGATTTCGAGAGACTCTTCTTGGAAAACGAGTTGATTATTCGGGGTGTTCTGTTATTGTCGTAGGTCCATTACTTTCATTACATCGATGTGGATTGCCCCCCGAAATAGCAATAGAGCTATTTCAGACATTTCTAATTCGTGGTTTAATTCGAAACCATATTGCTTCGAACATAGGAGTTGCTAAGAGTCAAATCCGGGAAAAAGAACCAATTGTATGGGAAATACTTCACGAAGTTATGCGGGGACATCCAGTATTGCTGAATAGAGCGCCTACTTTGCATAGATTGGGCATACAGGCATTTCAACCCATTTTAGTAGAAGGACGTGCTATTTGTTTACATCCATTGGTGTGTAAGGGATTCAACGCAGACTTTGATGGAATTACTTTGATAGTTTGTACAAGTATTTTTGTTTCATTAATCACTATTATTTCCGATACATCATGGTACGGAATTATTTGGACTACAAGACCAAATCAGATTATTGAGCAAGATTTGATAAGTACTAGTCAACAAATTGGAATTCATTTATCAACATATTTTTTTCTTCCATTTGAACTAATTTCCATAATTCTTTTAGTTTCTTTTAGAGAACTAGTAATAAAAATCAAGATTCTTTTTTTTTCAATTTTCTCACATTTATTTCTGTCGAATTCTATGTGAAGTGAAAGAGTTTTTTTTTATGTAGAAATTCTTTTTTTTTTATTGCCGATATATTCTTTTGTTAATGAATCCAAATTTATAAGGAGTTGGTCAATGATGCTCGAACATGTACTTGTTTTGAGTGCCTATTTATTTTCTATTGGTATCTATGGATTGATCACGAGCCGAAATATGGTTAGAGCCCTTATGTGTCTTGAACTTATACTGAATGCAGTTAATATAAATCTAGTAACTTTTTCTGATTTTTTTGATAATCGCCAATTAAAAGGAAATATTTTTTCAATTTTTGTTATAGCTATTGCAGCCGCTGAAGCGGCTATCGGACTGGCTATTGTTTCCTCAATTGCTCGTAACAGAAAATCAACCCGTATCAATCAATCGAATTTGTTGAATAAATAGCATTAATCCTATAATAATAAAGTAGAATTTCAAATAGTGTAATATGAATCTAATCAATTCATTTGAGTATTTATTCGACACAACTTATGATCATATCATGTTTACATTGCCTAAATCATAAGAAATGAAAGTATCCTGGTCCTCTTCGATTCCCTCTTGTAAATTTATCTAGACGCCTTTTTTTATTAACAGTTAACAATATTATCACAAATCATTGATTCATCTGGTATATAAATATACGATTCATTTACGAGTTTACTAGATCGATAATTTGCATTTTTGAACATCCAAAATTACTATAGATAATGTCACATTCAGTAAAGATTTATGATACATGTATAGGATGTACTCAATGTGTCCGAGCCTGTCCCACAGATGTATTAGAAATGATACCTTGGGGTGGATGTAAAGCTAAGCAAATAGCTTCTGCCCCAAGAACAGAGGACTGTGTTGGTTGTAAGAGGTGTGAGTCCGCTTGTCCGACGGATTTCTTAAGTGTTCGAGTTTATTTATGGCATGAAACAACTCGAAGTATGGGTCTCGCTTATTGATTCGTTTCAAAAAACACCACACGAATACGTTTTTTACTGGCAAAAACTCGTGTTCAAAATAAAAAAGAAAAAAATTCTATTTTATTTTGAGCATGGGCTTTTCTGGCCCAAGTGTATCTTATTTTTATCACGAATTTTTTTCCTTGGTTAACAATAGTTGTTGTTTTCCCAATAGCCGCAGGTTCCTTAATTTTCTTATTTCCTCATAGGGGAAATAAGGTAATTAGGTGGTATAGCATTTGTATATGCTTAATCGATCTCCTTCTAACAACCTATGCATTCTGTTATCATTTCCAATTGGATGATCCACTAATTCAACTGACGGAGAATTATAAATGGATCCATTTTTTTTGATTTTTACTGGAGATTAGGAATAGATGGACTCTCTATAGGACCTATTTTACTGACAGGATTGATAACTACTTTAGCCACTTTAGCAGCTCAGCCGGTTACTCGAAAATACCAATTATTTTATTTCCTGATGTTAGCAATGTATAGCGGTCAAATAGGACCATTTTCTTCTCGAGACATTTTACTTTTTTTCATCATGTGGGAATTGGAATTAATTCCCGTTTATCTACTTTTATCCATGTGGGGGGGAAAGAAACGTTTGTATTCAGCTACAAAGTTTATTTTGTACACTGCAGGAGCTTCTGTTTTTTTATTAATGGGAATTCTGGGTATTGGTTTATATGGCTCTAATGAACCAACATTTAATTTTGAAACATTAATTAATCAATCATATCCCGTGGCACTAGAAATAATATTCTATACGGCATTTCTTATTGCTTTTGCTGTCAAATCTATGCAAAGTAGGCGCTCTATTCAGCACTACTGTGATCTCAAATTGTGATTGCACATTTATTGTTCGATTACAGGTCTCTGAAGGTGCGGTGGCTGATCAATTCAGTCATCTTTGAGGACAAACTGCTCAGAGTGCGTGTGCAAACTGAAATGGTGGACTTGACGTCTCAGTACCCGAACAAATCCGCATCGGTGGCTCTAGTTATGCCAGGAAAACTTGAAGGTGGAGATACCACTTCTGGCACCCTGTTCATAACCATTCGAGACTGGTAATAAAATCTGAACCTCGTTCTCGATTCAACTGACATCTTCCTCTTCTATTGTCGTGATTAAGGTCATGCCTTGGTACTTTCTACTTATTCTGATTAAACGCAGTTGTTTCCCCTGGAAATAAGATTGGAGTGTTAGAACACAGATTGGTTCTTAATAATTACTCTTTGTTTTGATGATAACTGTTAGGAAATTTATATTTAAGAATTATATACTCTAAAATTTGTTTGAGAGTTTTACTGCAGATTGAAATTATATTAACTCTCTAGAAGCAAATCTGCCTTGAATACAAGAAGTTATTCTGACTCTGAAGCGCCAGATGCACCTTACAGAAGAAGCTGTTTGCTCCTTACAGAAGATCCTGAGCGTAGTCTCCAGAAGGATCTGAAGCAAGAAGCTCCAGAACATTCTGAGTCAGAAGCA